GGCTAACAGATTGATTGGTGCATAAGCTTTCATCGGCAAAGACCCACTTCGTCCGATCTTTCCAGGCTTTGGTATAAAACTTCCCCCCAAAATCCTAAAAACCTCGATTTTGGTGATAAAAATCTGCTGCCACCATCAAGTACTTTTGAACTCCAACAGGGGTGGACACTTGAAACCAGCCCCAGGGCACCCCAAGCTCTTTTCCCCAAAGAGCTTGAAAAAGAAAAGAGAAAATACAAACTGCAGTCTGTGGCTGCCATTCCCTAGTAAGAGGCATGCAGATCCCACAGATAGATTTTCCGGGACACAGAACTGAACCAATACCAGGTTTAATAAAAAGGAAATAACTTTTATTATCACAACAATACTCCTGTTATAAGCATAGTTGGATTGGCTAGATGGTAAGAGCCGCCAATTAATAAACTCACAGAGAATTTTCCCATGGAAACAAAACTTAGTTACAAAAGAGAGGAAACCCCATTTCTGAATGCACAAGACATCAGATTCTCATTCCCAAACCATAAAACAATAAAACCTAATGGATTTATCTAGACTTTACCCTACTTACAGATGGTGAAGAGTCTTTTCTTGGAGAGGGATGTGTTGTCTGTCCCCCTCACTATCTGGAGAGAAACTGCCTCTGAGATAAAGAAGGGAAAAACCAAAAATTCCTTTGTCCCAGTTTGAAATCCCTTTCTGCATTTCTATTGGCTGACTGCTACCTGGCTAGGTACAGTTAACCCCTTAGTCCCAAGGCTGCTGGCCATCCCTCATGACCATGATAGGGTCAGTGGCCTGCGACCCAAAAAAGGTTCCCTACCTGTGCTATAAATAAAGAAAACATTGAAACCTTTTCTGTTGAACACAAATTCATATTTTACTTTTTTTTAAACTAAGTTTGATAAACTAACATGAGGTAATTAAAACACTTAATCTATTTAATAATTTAAGTTAAACCTTTCTCCCTAGTTGCAGCACTAGCAAAATGGCTCAGGTGTAATTATGAAATTAACGATGTGTTTCCATTAGCAACTGGTGGTCCACGGAAAGATTTACATTGAGCAAGGTGGTCCATGGGCCAAAAAGTTTGAGAACCACTGCCTTTGACAGAGAGGGTCTGTAGTGCCAAATATCCATGGCCACATTGTACAGCTTTATTCTGCATGTCTAACCCCCTTCTCCCTCAAGAGTTATTACTGATCTGGACAATCACATGGCTGCTGCCAATCCATGGCTGAGCAAAGTCTCAAATTTGTCTTACCCCAAACATCTTTCTTTTCTAATTCTTTATCTGGGCTAATAACTCTCCCACTGGTCTTTAGAACCTGTGAACTTCTTGCTCAGGTATTTTCCCATGCTTTTAAGTAAATGTTTATGCTGCTGTTGGAAGTGTGCCTTCCCAGAACACGTAGACAAAGGTGCTAGGTCTGCTTGAAATAACATGCTAAGAATTGTTATTTTTAGAGCTAGTGTGTGTCTATCTGCCAGTATAGGGAGGCATGAACCCAGCTGCAGCGTAAACATGTCCTTTGTCAATCATTCCAAAGAAGATCAATTGCATGAAATTCAATGTATTATGCAGATTTATCAGACAACAGCTTAAAAGTTTAAGTCCTAACTGCTCTGTGTGGCTATAAAAGAATTTAATTGACTTTTCACCTTAATAATTATTGCACCATTTTACTGATTTTTACTTACCGTAACTGTTATTGGCCAAATCAATTCAACACACAGGTTCACTAACAGCTAATATGGTCATATGCACACAAGCCCCATGAAGCCTATTTTTCAAACTGCGAAGTGCTAATTTTGAAATAGACTGTGCATGTGCATTGTTCAATTTTGAAATCTTCTTAAATATAATAAATTCAAACCATATTTCATGAGAATTTTGAAAGCACTTCTCCCAAAAAGGCAACTGCTCTGCCAACTTTTAGCTTCCTCGTCCTACCTACTAGCGCTAAATCTGTTTTTTTTTAATAGAAATAAAATCACAATAATTTTAATAATAGGAGAAATGTTAGTTTCCCCTCTCAGTAGTTTCAAAAATGGCTGAACCAGTTTTCCTCAAACTTTTTAAAGAAAACCATCATCCTCAAGAAAATCTCAATTTTGATCAATGTTAGGCCAAAAGGTGTCAGGTTTGGAAAGTAATGAGCAGTTGACAACAGAGCAATAGCATGTAAATGTTTAAACAGTTATACCTAAAGCTGTTACCCAGAGCTCCAGTTTCAGATAGAGTAAATGGATTAGACAAACACAAGATCACCAGCTGTGCACAAATTCAGACAGGTATAGATCTACAGACATATGAAGAAAATTGGGAAAATATCACTTCCACTCTTCTTTATGAAACCAATCCAAAGCCCCATGAAGTCAGAGGGACTCTTTCCATCGACTTTCACAGGCTTTGGATCAGGCCGTATAAGTTCAATTCTACTCTATCCTTGCATACGCTGAAACGGTGGAAAGAGAACCATTCTCCAGTTCCAATTTCTCTAATGCCATGTAAAGGTCACAACCCTTGTGATTCTTTCAGGTTTGAGAACAGTATGAGAAAAAGAGGGCATGTCAAGGATCAAAAAGCAGAGGTTGCACTGTTACACAAACCCCAGTGTATTTGCTTCTGGGGCCTTAGTAGAAGGTGCAAAGTAGTGGTCCTTAAAGTGTGATTCATGGACCACTAGTGGTCTGCAACTATTTTGCAGGTGGAGCTGCAGGCTCAGGGCTCGCCCTTCTCCCCTGCAGCGGGAAGCCTGCGCTGGCACTCCAGCCCTGTGACTCCCCCCCACCAGTGAGTTGGAGCGCCACTGCCAGCTTCCTGCTATGGGGGGGGCCTCATGGGCCGGATCTGGTTTGTAGGGGGAAGGAAGTGACTCCACATGCTGCTGCTCCCCCTTTCTCCAGTTGTGGGAATGTCAGCACAGGAACCTGCGCTTGCCTGGAGGCTTTCCCCGCCCACTGCTCCCAGAATACTGGCCAATGGGAGCAGCGGGGGGGGGGGGGGGGGGAGGGGGCAGTGCTTGGGAGCAACAGGAGGAATGTGCCAGGTAAGAGCCTCCCATCCTCCCATGCCCAGACCATGCACCCCCACCCTGCACCTTCCTCCTGCCCAGACCTTGCCCCCCAACCATCAGTCCATTCCTGCACCTTACCTCCCACTCAGACCTCCCACCCTGCTCCTGCACCCTTCCTCCCTCCAAGATCCCCTCCCCAGCCCATTACTGCATCCAACCTCCCACCCACACCTCCACTCTCAGTCCACTCCTGCACCCTGCCTCCCAGCCAGACCCCTCACTCTCACTTCCTTCTGTACCCATTTTGTCATCATGGGTGGATGACTGGTGATCCATGGAAACATCTGCACTGAGCAGGGTGAAAGCATATATCACAGCAGCTCCATCATTGCCTAAAATGCTCTACCACTCATTAACTGCTGGGACCGATCTCTACTGTGTGCTTCAAATGCTCCTTGCTTTCCTACAGTCTTTCTTTCCCATGCGCTTTGCATAGTTCCTAATGCATGCGTGATCTCCTGACCACCAGCTTCTGCATCCTTCTCTTCCTGCCATTGGTTGTGCTGATCCCAGTTCCCAGACAGCATCAGCACACTCTATCCCAGCTCCCTCCCACACCAACTGTCACCCACTTTGTGACACCACAACCCCAAATCATCCAGCGGCATAGGTCTCAGTCCTCCTGAGCATTCTACTCTCCCCATGTCCCCCAAATACATTTCTTTTCACCCCTCCCATGTTCAACAGCTGGTGCCCTTGCTTGCATACATCCTAGGAGAAGGAGACTTGTCCAAACAGGGCTGTCCATCTCTGTGGTAGAGGCTGTGCAAAGACCAAGAACCCATTGAACAGATGGATGGCTGATTTATCCTAACCTAGAACAGTGTTTCTCAAAGTGGTCCATGAAACCACTTTGAGAAACCTGCTCACTGGCTGCTCCAGTGTGTTTATTTACCGGCTCCACAGCCATTGAGCCTCGCCGCTCCCATTGGCTCCAGTTCACCATTTGCAGACAAGAGTAACTGTGGGAAGGAGTGTGGGCCAGGCCAATGGGAGCTGTGAGGCGCCGTAGCCATGGAGCCTGTAAATAAACACACCAGAGCAGCCAGTGAGCAGGTTTCTCAGAGTGGCTTCATGGACCACTTTGCGAAACTCTGGCCTGGAAGATTTACTTGGCGCTGATCAGGTCCTTAACTCAATTAATTTTTGTTTATTGGAAAATAAAATGGTGGGGTTGGGGATGAGGGACTCAATATGCAGGCTGCCCCAGGGGAAAAGGACAACCCCAGCTCTCTGTCACTGTAGCAGCTTCGGACCAGGTGAGAAGAGCCTCTCCATGTTTGCTGCAGCTGCAGTGGGCAAAGGCAGGGGAGGGATGCATGTCCCACAGCTGGGGCAGGTCCATGTTCATTGCAGGTGGGGGAGCTGCAGCCCCTCTTAATCTTCCTAAAGGGCACTTGCGATGTGGGAGGCTTAGGGCTGGGGTCATTCCAAATGAGAGGGCAAGTCGCCCCAGATCTGCCTCTTTTCCATATGGTTTTCTGAGAAGCAATCCCTTTCCAGGCACATCCCATTTTCCTGGCACAACCAAGCCCTAACCTTATTTTAAATTATAAAAAAAAGAAGCTGCATACCAAATTTGGTGGTCCTACCTCTTGCCATTTAGGAGTTTTTCAACAAACTAAGGTAACTGTATTTGAACTTTCCAAAAAGAGGACACTCCTGAGAGGGCGTGTATCTGTATCAGTATCTACCAACTCACATTGTATTAATGTGTTATACTGTATATATACTATATGTAATACATTAATACAACGTGAGTTAGTAGATACCGATACAGAAACACTCCCTCCCAGGAGTGTCCTCTTTTTGGAAAGTTCAAATATGGTAACCCTAAACTACAAACAGACAGACACACTCACAAACAATTATACAGTAGATTTAGGTCAGAAGACAGCTAAAATAATATACTTGTGTGCTTACTTGTTGTGACACCATGAACAACTCCTTCCCTGGTCCTGGAACCTAAACAAAGAAAAATCATTTTACACTGAAATTGTTATGAGTATTGGCAACACCTGTTAGCAAATACTGGGTCAAGTGAATAGGTGATAGAAAAGCAGTAAATATAGTACAGCTAGATTTTAATAAATCATGATAGTGGCTCATAAGGTGTGTAACATTAATTCAAATTGGGCTTAATATAGGCAATGGCATAAGGATAGAAGATTGACAGAACCACCAATAAAGGGTGAAGATAAGTGGCCGGCTACGTCTACACTGGCATGATTTTCCGGAAATGCTTTTAACGGAAAAGTTTTCCGGTAAAAGCATTTTCGGAAAAGAGCGTCTAGATTGGCAGGATGCTTTTCCGCAAAAACACTTTTTGCGGAAAAGCGTCCGTGGCCAATCTAGACGCGCTTTTCCACAAAAAAAGCCCCGATAGCCATTTTCGCGATCGAGGCTTTTTTTTGCGGAAAAGAAATCTCTGCTGTCTACACTGGCCCTTTTGCGCAAAAGTCTTTTGGAAAAAGACTTTTGCCTGAACGGGAGCAGCATAGTTTTTCCGCACAAGCACTGACAATCTTACATGAGATCGTCAGTGCTTTGGCAGAAATTCAAGCGGCTAGTGTACATAGCTGTCAAGTTTTTCCGCAAAAGCAGATGATTTTGCGGGAAAACTTGCCAGTCTAGAAACAGCCCCATGTTTTGAGTTGTGGAGTAGGGGGAGCATCCATATTAGATCTGAATTTAGTTATTAACTTCATTAATGTTCTAATACACAGCATGTTAAGAAAGCACCCACTTCTATAAAGACTTCCGCACATGAAGAATTTCACTTATGTGAGCAGTTCCCACTGTCCCACATGCATAAAATTACTCATGAGTAAGGCTGTGTAGCCTCAGATTAGCAGATGGTCATAAAATTCATTTTGGAAAACATGCAAGTGAATATTTTTCTGGGAAGTAATCTGAAACAAATACTTTAATGAGAATGGAATCTGAGAGGCAGCTTGAGGTAATAGTGAGCAGTGATAGATACAGTATTGGACATGAGTGTATGGTTTAATGTGGCAGCCACAAAGACCAAATCAATTTTGGTATGCATATGCAAATATGTCCTGAATCCTTGGGGAAAAATCTTGTCCTAGGAAGGAAATGGGCACCCATTGGCATCAATGGTAAAACTCCCATTCATTTTTAATGGAAGCAGAAATAAACCACTAGGAAGTGCTTTTGAAAATCCCATCCTCAATACCTTTTTCCATTCCAGACTTCTAATTCTCTGATTTTATAACTTAGCTACATCTGAAGGAGATAAGCCCATCTCTGACCAACCAGGCTTAGGAATTTACAATGCAGACAAGTAGTATGGAAGCCCAGGTAATAGCTTTGTAATGCCATTGGGCTAGGTCTTCAAGGGACAGTATTGCTATCTACATTTTAAAAAGCATTTATTTTCTTTATTATGCACATTATATGAGAATTTTTTTCCCAATGAGTTCCCAAATATTTAGAAACTTCTAGCTATGCTATTTATTTATTTGGGCAATTTTTATGGCTCACATTCAGTATACATGCATTGTTTTATGTCAGGCCTTTTTAACATCATGCATGTGCACTGTTCCTTTAAATCCATAGAAAGAAGCCAAAAAAGGGCATCTGGTGAAAATTCTAGGCAGAAGCTCTACAGTGAAGCAGCAAGAATGTAGCAATAGGTTTAATATTGTTTTCCTTATTCTAATAAAGTTTCTTGTTTAGTGTTAGAAGAAAGAGATTGTCAGTGATTCTTTAGAGTTGTGATATTTGGCCACCCCACTAATATAATTGCAAATATTGTAGAACAGTACTCTAGCACTATGTTTCATGTTTTACTGGTGCCAATTTAAAAGAATTGTGTGTGTGTGTGAGAGTAAGTGAGAGAGACATGTGAAATGACTTCATGCCTGGAAAATGAAGATGCCAGACTTGCTCTGGGCACTTTGAAGAAGATAGTTTCTCTGTCTGAAAGTCAGGTAAATAGCCAAGGATTAGAACACAGGGTGAAGAAATAGTGTCCTCTCTTCTTGATAGTCATTCAATTATACCAGGAGAAACACCAGATTGTTTTCCTCTACAGCAAATGTCAATCATTGCAAGGTTTCTGAGCTCTGTGACTAAAAACAAAGCAGAAGTCTTTTCAGTGTGTAAGGATTAATCTTACACCACCAGCGCTCAGTTCCACATGGTCATAAATGCTCTATAGTCTCAATTCAGCAAAACACATTTCATTTTAAGCACAAATGTAATTCCACTGATTTGTAGAAAGAGCCTACAAAGCACTTCATTGGATTCCATCAGACAATAGGACACATGCTTACAATTGAGCATGAGCTTAAGTGCTTTGCTGGATTGGAGTCAGAGTGCTCAATTCCCTTGCTGGATTGACCCCTAGTGATGGGCTAAATCCTTCAAGCGACTTACTGTTCAATTGGGGTGGGACGAGATGGAGTAAAGCATCAAAAAACCCTCACAGAAGAATTCTCCATCACAGATATCTCGAGAACGAAATATACATATGTGGGAGTGCTTGGCTCCATGGAAGGCATGAAGCCTCAAGTGGAAGGAGGAGGAGGCAAGGATAACCAGCTCTCAGCACCGAACAGACCAGGGGTCGACAACGTGTGGCTCACGAGCCATAAATAGCTCACTTAAGAGCCAAATATGGCTTGCGGCTTGAGCTCAGCCCTCCCTTCATTCTCCCCTTCCCCCCGCAACAGGGATCCTGGGCTGGTGATCCAGCCTTGCTCCCCCAACAAGATTAGAGTCAGTGCCAGCTTCCTGCAGGGGGAGGGGAAAGCCTTGAGGCTCTCCACCAGATTCAGCTTGTGGGAAAGTGCATGCACACTGCTCCTCCCCTCCCCTCCCCACAGCAACACGTGTGGTTCCTTATCCACCATACTTTCCCCATACTCCAGGGAGGCAGGACACGGGAGCTGAACAGTCTCCCGTGCCTGATGATCACCAGAGAAAGTGCACCCAGCTGCACTGGATGTGGTGGTGCTGTATATTGAACATGCAAGAGTGGGTGGGAGGTGCAGCTAAGATGGCGGCAGAGGATCCGGACTTTCGGGATGAGGAGCAGCTGGATTTCCTAAATGAGTGGCACATGCCCTGCCTGCAGATCCTGTCCAAGAGATATTCATCCCTGGAGACCAGCAGGTACTGGCCAAGCTGCTCCTGCCCCCTCTCCCTTGGCCAGACACCCATCAGCACCCTGCTCCTGTCCCCTCCCCACTGGTCAGACACCCACTCACACCTCATTCCCGCCCCCTGGACAGACACCCACCAGCACCTTGTTCCTGCCCCCTCGGCCAGACATCCATCAGAACCCTGCTCCTGCCCCCTGGACAGACACCCACCAGCATCCTGCTCCTGCGACCTCCCCCCTGGCCAGACATCTACCCCCAGCTTGCTCCTGCACCCTACCTCCCTCCTAGATTCTGCATCGCCTTCCCTACCCTATTCACTGGCAGCTCTGTCCCACACACTGGACCCCTCATGTTTGGTCCCACCCCAGAGCTTAGGGGGGGCACAAAATCCACTAATCCTGGAACTCCAGAATAGTTAGTCTGGCCAGAGGCCTTGAACCTCAGTCCCCTTTGCCCTCATCCCTGCCACCCATGGGGTTGGAATGCCAGGGGAGTGAAGTGTCTCAGTTGGGGGCCACATGAGAGAGGGCTGGAGTGGTGGGAAGGGGTTTGTGTGTGGGTGTGGGGGGGGGGGTTGGGTTTTCTGTTTGTTTTCTTCTCTGATTTTTCTGTGGGACAGTGGCCCCTGACCCAAAAAAAGGTCCACCACCCCTGCCATAAATAAAGACAATGTTGAAACTTTTGTGTTGGACATAATATTTTACTTTATTTAAAAAAGAAACCTGGACAACAAGCCCCCATTTGGGACCCAGCCCCCATCTGGCCACAGCATCATAACACTCCTGCTCAGCTTTCTCCCCCCCCGCCAACCCTGAGCCCATCATACACCCAAACCCCCTGCCCTAAGCCCCTCATACACCTCAATCAAACCTCTTGCACCCCAACATCCCCAGCCTCCACCGTAAGATTGACAGAAGACAGCCTGAATACTTGCATGAAGCTGGATTTGATCAGTTATGATGTAAACTTCAAAGAAATGTGTGAAAAGATGCAGGAGCAGAAGTCCCATTAGTCTGTGAGTATGTTTCATTTATGCTATTACTAATCATTGTGTCAATTATCAATTATATTAAGTTGTATATTTTCCATCATGCAAGTGGGCATTCTTATTGGCTCTTGACCACTTGTTTTGAATTTTGATGTAGTTTGGCTCTTTGATTTGAAAAGGTTGCCAACCCCTGGTCCAGACCAGGCCCTCAGAGCTGCCTGGATCGTGCTGCACGGGACTCAGGCACAGATTTAAAGGGTCTGGGGCCCCAAGGCAGCTGCAGCCTTCTCCTCTTGTCGGGAGTGGGAGCATAGGGTGGAAAATGGCTCTCTTTACTGGCCACTCCAAAACATCATAGAAAAGCTGCTTCGCATGTCCTGCATGACAGGAGTCATGGAGTGGTGATTCAGGGTACTAACTAGTAGTCAAGAAACATGGCCTGCTTGTACATTCTGTCTCAGCAATAAGCTTTCTGCACAGATGACACATGCAAGCAGAACACTGACACACATGCACACTACTTCTCCTGAATACACTGTTCATGAGACCACACAGGAGGAAGGGGTGGATGTTCTTTCTGTTTTCAGCCACCAGCCAGAATTTGGACCTTGGTGTGAAATCCCCTCCCCCCGCCCCCCAGAGAGACACCAGTATCACCCTTCTTTCCCATTTCACTAGTATTTGTCAACACTATTAAACTTCAGTAGTTATTTTGTGTGTTGGCTGTGAGGCCCAATCCTGCACACCGCTCATTTCTGAGCACTTCTTTAGAGGTGCTGAGCATTCTGAGCACTTCAATGAATTGGAGCCTCATTCAGACATAGAGCTGGCTAAGGCAGCACATG